CCCCGGCCCCCCCGCAGGGCGCGGACTACCTCAACGGCCTCGCCGCCACCGCCACCGCCGCCACACCCCCCACCGACGTCAAGCTGGTGCCCCTGCCCTTCTACAAGACTGTGGACGTGCTGCTGCACCCCACCGAGCTCGGTGAGTCCCCCCCGACCCGACCCGTCCGGGAGAGCTGCTGGCCGTGCCCTTTCTCCTGTGTGGTCTCCCCTCTCCCTCCTCTGTTTCCTGCTGTTTGCTTTGTAGTTCGGTTTCTCTTATTCTGCGATTTTCGACCTTCAGTGACGCCTGTGAACAGAAGCTCACTGGAGACAAGATTCTCGGTCTTTTCAGCAGCACCTGGGCTGTAGCAGGACTGTCCAACAGGTCCCGGGTTCCGGCTTCCCTGCAAACTGCAGGTTTTTATTGGAGCCAAGGTCTTGATGGCTGAAGATGCTCGTTTGTGGCTTAATTGGACCAATTGAACAGCTTCAACCTGCAGGTGCTGCTGCTTTAAAGAGACCTGGAAAACCTACAGACACTGCCCAGGTCCAGGGGGAGGCCGCTGGGATACAGTCTTTTTTGGCAGAGCTTTCCCGAGTCTGGTCTGTAACTGTCTCTCTGTCTCCCTAGTGCCCCAGAACAGCGAGAAACTCCAGGACAGCCCGTGCACCTTTGAGCTGTCCCAGAGCCAGGTGGAGCAGATCAGGAATTCTCGGTGAGCTCTCTCTCTCTCTCTCCGCTCCCAAACCTGCAGGAGCTCAATACCCACCTCTTCTTCATCTGGTTACTATCCGGACATTTACAGGCTCGTGGTTTAATACCTACATGTCCTACATGCCAAAAAAAAGAGAGAACCGTGTTGAGTGATCGCTCTGTCTCCTGTTCCAGGGAGCTGCGCCTTGGGGTGAAGTCTGTCCAGGTGGTGCTCAGGTGAGTGTGCTCTCTCTGGGGAATCTCGCCTGTCTCCCTCTCTGTCGCAGGAAGATGAGGCTCAATACGGGATCACTGTTCCTGGGAAACACTTGAGTGCAATGCTCAAGGCTCACACCGCTGCTGTGCTTTGAGATATTGAATGTTCCCAGAGGTTAAATATCTGTACTGGTTGTACGTTGGTAGCTTTTTGGAAGTGCAGGTCGTGTATCTCTGATGTGGGGGGAAAACTGGAGCCTGACCCCAGCGTGGTGCCACAGCAGAAAAGCTAGACTGCAGTCTTCAAAGGGGGCACCCAGCCGGATCTTCACATTATCGACCGGGCTCTGATAGAATTCCTCGGGCTGGGCAGCCCCAGTCTCTCCCTCATCCCATCCCTTGCTCCCGTAGCAGAGCGGTCGGCTCAGGGGTTGCTGGAGGGAGGCCGCTGTCCAGTGTTTAATCGCCCCTGGAGCTGCAGGATGTAGCAGTGACCGGTTACGGAGCAGGTGCTCGAGCAGATCAGGGCT